CTACTCCATGATCACGTGAACCACACCTTTCAACAGAATTCTATATAATTCGAATTTTTATTTTTTTAAAAATTTAATAATTATTAATAACTTTTTATTATAGATTTTATAATTATATTCAATTATATTATATTCTAATAAAAAATAAGTAATCGATTATAATTGGTTTTTATTATTACATTAAAAAATAATTTTTTTTATAATCTAATTAGAAATATTTATTTAATATTTATATAATAATAATAAATAAATACAATAAAAATTAAATAAAGATAAATATTTATTTCAAATTATTAAAAGTAATTTTATAATTAATAATTTATTGTTATATAAATTTCTTTTTAATAAATAATCAAATAGTTTTATAATTTTAAATTTTTTTAAATAAAATATTAATAAAAATTAGTAAATCTAAAAAAATATTAAAAATCTTTTAATTTTATTAATAATTTTTAATTGAGAATTATTTTAATTTTATTTAAATTTATTTCAATTTTATTAAGTATAATAATTAATTTGAGATATTCAGTTTATATAGTTTTAAATTTATATTTCTTGATATCAATTTATAAATCAATATTAATTAATCTTTATACAATCTTATAAATCTATTTTTGATAATCTATAATATTAATAAAATAAATTAAAATATTATTTAGGTATATAGTATAATTTTTATTCAAAAAATCGAAAAGAATATAATTAATATAATTTTAAAACAAAACAAAAATATTATAAAAATCAAAAAGTATTATTAGAGATTCGAAAAGGTTAAAATAAATTATAAAAGTTATTTTTTATTTATATTTTTTTATAATTCTTAATTTATTAAATACAATAATAATATTCAATTTAATATAAATTTTTATATAATATAAAGTATCAAAAATCTCTTTAATTAATAACAGGAGATATTAGTTTTTAATAATAATATTATTCAATTTATAATAATCTTAACAATACAAATATCTTTTCCAGGCTTTACAATTAATAGAAATAGAATAATTGATTTAAAGTAGGATTTACAAATAAATTTTTTATTCAAATTATTATTAAACTATTTATATATAATTTAAAATTCAATTAGAAATATTGAATATTTTTTGTTATATAGCAATTTCTTATTTAATATGAATTCAATTTTATAATCCTAAAAGTATTTAGAAGGAAATTTATTAATAAATAAGAATAAGAATTCTATATATAAATTATATAACTAAAATAATAATCTACTTTGAATATTAATTATAAATAATATTAGATAATCGATTTTTTTTATAAATTTCTTAATATTACTTTTCGCAATACCATGATATAGCTGGATAGGGTTATCCACTAATATTTGATATAACTTATAAATAATATCCAGCTTATTTCAAATTAGTTTTGTAATGTATACATTCTAACCTTTACAAAATTAAACACAATTAATAATAATAAGATATCTAATATTATCCAACTCTTATTAAATGCTATGCTTTTTATTAAACTTTTCCAAAAATATTGAGATCTATAGAGTATTTCTAAAGATTAACTTGAATATTTTGGATTTAAATATTTCTAAAATTTCAATAACAATTTTGAGAATTATAGATTAATCTTGAAATAATAATAAAATAGTTTCACAGCTTTTGTTAATGATCCTTTTTATAGAAATTGATTTTAGAATAAGCTTCTATAAAAAAGGTCTAAAAGTATTAAATATAATTTTGTTATTTTTTAATAAAATTACTTTTTAAGTACTTTCTATATTAAAAATAGTAATTGTTATAATATTAACGGGATAATAATATTTTGAATAATATATAGATATAAATTTGAATATTATTGTTAATTAATTAATAATGAAATTGTAATATTAGAGTTATAGAAAACTAAGGATTATAGGGTTTACAATTAATAAAATAATAATATAGAATAAACCTATTTTTCTATAATTGTTGATTTGTATATCCAAAAGTATATACTGAGAAAGGATATTGGAAAGTTTATTATTAACTAAAAATAAGTAATGAGTATAGGGGAAAGAGTGTATAGATATTTAGAATTTAAAAACAATTTTTTTATTAATAAAGCTATAATTTATAGTTTTGTTATCTATAAAGTTAATAAATAAAATAATTATATTAGGTGTAAGGGAGATTTCTATTGAGATTTTAAAAGATTTATTATTTATTGATTTAAAATATAAAGAATTTCTAGATATTTTTAATTTTTTAATTTACAAAAGTAAATTTCTTATAAAAAATTTCGATTTATAATTATAAGTTGAGGTTAATCTTTTAATATACTCAATTAGAAAATCGAGTTATTACTTTTCTTTAAATAAATAGAACTTTTAATATAATCTTTTAAATTAAATATTTAAGTAGGGTTAAAAGGGATTGAGGAGGTATAATATAATAATATAATTGAGGAATGGTTGGTAGATAGAAATAAATTCTGATATAAAGGGGTAGCAATATTGTAATAGAATTTAAAGTTTTTATATTAATTGATTATAAAAAAACAATTAGTATAAGAAATATATTTTATATTAATATTAATATTATACTTTGTATTATTAATTTGTTTTTCCTTACAATTACTTTTAATATAATCTAACTTTTTATAATAAAACAAAAATCGAATTTAATATATCGTTTTCGAGTATAATAAATTAAGAAGTGCTGATTTAGTCAAATAATATCTAATTGTATAGAATTACTAAAAAAATCAGATATAAAAGGAGATATAGTAATAGTTGGTTTTTTATTATAAAATTTTAATTAATTATAATTGAAATTAATATTTTGATTCTTTTATTAATTATTAAAATAATTATAATTGAAATTAATACCCTAATTTTTTTATTGATTATTGAGGTAAGTTTTTTCCTTTAAATTGTTATAAATACTTTGTTATTAAATTGTTTATATTTTAATATTAATAATAAAAAGTTTATTTGGGTAATTAATAAATATATCAATTAATTTTTATAAAATTTTAAACTTAAAATCTATAACCTATTATTAATAGTTTTTTAATATCTAATAATAAATTATTTAAATTTAATAATAAAATTACTAAATAAAATCTTTTTTATTTTGTATTTATTATAATTTATAAAATTTTTACAGAAAAAATTAAAAATTTAATATTGTTTGTTTAATTTACTTTAAATATTTATAATAATATATTATTTAAAAAGTTAAAGATCAAAATTATATAGATTATTAATAATCATATTAAAATATATTTGATTATTTATATAAACAGAATTAAAAAGTAGATTAATAAGAAATATGATTTTCTAAAATTCTGATTTGTTTTTATAATCTATAATTAAATAATAATTAATAATATTATAAAATATAATATATTGGTTTTAGTATTTTACAATATCCTATTTATTACTATTAAACTTCTTGAAAGTAATAAAATACTTACAGCAATATAAAACCTATAAATTGTTTCAAATAACGATTTTCAATATACTAATTATATTATTTAATTCATTAACTTTGATTTAAATATTAATAACTTAAATTTGAAATATATTTATATACAATTTGATTAATTTAAATACAATTTGAATAGCTATAAAATGTATAGCACTTAAATTATTAAATAAATCTATAAATAAAGAAATATTGATTTTAATAGAGTTGAGAATATAATTTAAGAATAAAAACTAAAGGAATAAATCAAATACAAATATTTAATCAGTTATAATTATAATTAAGATTCAAAATAATAATAATTAAAGTATATAGCAGAACAATAATAAATCTAATCAATTTAATTAAATTGAAATTTTAATAAATTTGAAATAGAAATAAAGCTAAAATAACTTTTAAAAAGATAATACAAACTATCAAGATACAGGTAAAGACTTATATTATACTATAAGGATAGAAAAGCTATAGAAGAGTAAGGCTGTTACGTAAGCGGATACAATAGGAGTTGTAAGCTTTACCACTACGCCACGCACGCAATCTGTCCAAAAGGCACAGTATCAGGGATCAAGTCCTGATAGCTTACTACTGTATATATACCCTGTAACAAAGGCCCTCTTATAGAAAATAAAACACACTAATAATATATACCTGAGGCATAAAGGCAACATAATTGGCGCCGTGACATGTTCAGACTTTGTATGAATCTTTTAGTTTTTGGACTAGCAAAAGAGAGTTGAGCTACATCTTTTAGTAAAATTAAGTACGGCTATAATGATGGCGGATTTGACTTGTATGTCAGGAAGAGGGAAAAGGCTTATATTCTATTACATTGCGAACTACCTAGTACTTAATTATCAAATCCGTTCCTGAAAATACTTGTATACATGGAAACGGCTGGCCTCTCACCACAGGTTATGACTGCAATTATCACACACGGAAAATAGAAATTCCTGCTACAGTTTGATCCCATCACGATTTATATCCTAAAGGTGATTGTTCTAAAATTTCATTGCAGTGCACCATCTGATGTCCCAATTCTTAAAGTCAAGATGAGATAACACTCTACATACTTGTTAATCATGCCTTCTGCCCTGTTTGTAACTTTTCCTTTGATTGGGCTCGCAGAATGGTCTCTGAATCTGTACTTTCTACATCTCTAGTTCGCTTTGGAATTTTGCTACGCTTGGGAGTCAAGATTGAACTTATCTCTTGGTACTTTCATTGAGAAGCAGCAATGGATCGTCTGGACCTGAAATGCTTGAATCACCCTTCTGATTTCTTGTTGCATTTGAAGATGGGCAAGTGACATCTCTCGGTTCGTGATCAAAACTCGTCTCTTGGGTTACGGGCCGTTAAAGATACCATTTTCCAGAACCTTCAATCGTTGCCTTTGTCTGTTTCGGAGAGTGAAGCTGATTAGTCGTCGCTATCGCTCTCAAGCAGAATAACTACCCTCTTTCGGGGACTGAAAATGTTACGTGTCATTCTACGTTTACCAGGAGAGACGATTGCTTCCGACTCATCACCACTGTCGGATAAAGAAGCAAAGTCTTCAGAAATTTATAGCGGTTTTCGCCTGGAAGACCTTCGTACACTCGGTGTTCCTGGTAGCACTTCTCCTAATGTATCGCTTTCGCTGCTATCGAGATTTGGGGATGTGTTTTTATCGACCTCACAATCTACAGTTGTGGTTGATTCGTCGACTTCCTCGTCAGTCTCCAACTCCCCTGTTTCATGCTCATCGGAGCTTTCATCCTCATCAGAGCTTTCATCCTGAACCACAAAGCCATCGTCGGATATATAAGACTCATCATCGAAAGCGACTCCATCGTCATCCGGCCCTAGTCTCTCGCCAACTGGATTGACAATCACCGGTTTATTCCGCGAAACAACTTGTTGTCGTGGCGGTTTTCTCAACTTCCATTCCTCATATTCACGAGCAATGGCTTTGAGTATCGGGGCCCATCGGCAAATTTTTAGGAGCTTTCTCCACTTCCGAGGCTGAGAGTCATATATTGTCCGAAACTCTCTACCCTTGTCCTCCCCAAACCAAATTGGAATTGATCCTGGACTTTTACTTGTGCGCATCTTTTTTGCAATGAGCCATGAATCGTATCTATCTTTCAATTCCTTGAATTTTCGTATCTAATTGAAAATGTTGGCTGACATTTTGTGTTTTTCAGCAAACGGATATATCTTACATTTGATTCTGCTCTGTCTCCGTCTCTGTGATAAAAGTTGACGAGGCTCATCACATATCCATCTTCCAATTTATCTAAAGCAATGCCTTTATGCTTGCCGAACCACATGATTGTCTTGCCGGGGGGCGGGAGTTCGGACGGATTCTTTTCAATCCAAACTTGCTTCCGATCGTACAACGTCTTGAACTCCTTGATCTAAGTGGTTGATCGTTAATCCTGATTTATATATTTTAAGTTGAAAACACACATTTGACGAAGCAGTGTCTGGGTTCTCCAGATACTTGTTCACCATCCATTCTATGTACGAAAGAGATAGTTCGTCATATTTGTGCCCTTTATGCTGCCCGAACCACAATACTTTATCCCCAGGATTTGGGTCCTCGTCCTCATCCTCATCCCCAAGTTGATCTTCAAAATTGGCGGCTGTGCGAGCCATTGCGTCATTGTCGTCACCATCTGTAAGTTCACTATTCTCCCGGTTGTATCGCTCACCAGCAGCTGCATACTCGGAAGCCATCTTTCCGAAATAGTGCTTTGAAGGATGGCAATCTGCTGTTAATCAGTGGTGCCCGATATGTCTTGGAATATGTAAGTCCGGAATCGCTCGGCAATATGAGCTCGACCCAGGCGGTGATAGAGTCACGATGCTAGAATGTGTATAAAAAATAACGTTGATTTGTTGAGAGATACACAAGCAAAATGTAAAGTAATTCGCAGTGATTAACACCACTTATACTATTTGTTTGGGAGTGGAGACTTGAATAAGTGCTACACTGTAATCTTCAGATAAGGATGCAGATTTGACTTGGGTAACTTACCCCTGTTCTCTCCACTTACTTTGTTCGGTAGTTGCAAAATACAAAGTATTTTTCGACAGAAATTTCTCGAGGTAAACGGAATCATGAATGAACGCTGGCTTTCAATACCATATTCTGCCTTGGTAAAGAGAACAAAGGAAACAAGTTCATCAAATTTGTAGCAATCGCCACGAAGCAAAAGCGAGAGTAAAACATGGCGATGCTATATTGGTGGAGGATTGTTACACGGCAGCGTGGTTACCACCCTAAATGCAAGTGAGTGAGCGGGGTACAACAGCTGCTACATTTTGCTGACTAGTCACGTGCCAAGGATGGAAGACAAGGGGTTGAGATATTAAGAAAGAGGTAGTACCTACTGTTATATGTATTCGAGAATGCTTTAGTAGGGGTGCAATAAAAGGGAATCCGAAATCATGGGTATTTCCATCTATAGCTCAAACAAATTTGATCTTTCGGACTATTATCGGTGCATCTCAAGCATAATATCGTGTTTCAATAGTTCATATCGTACTAGACCTCAATTGACTGAAAGGCCCTAATTGGAATTGAAATCTGAAGCAGCGGCGATTCCTTAATCATCTCTCAATATTGAAGGGGGATAAGAAATAAAGCCATATGCAAAGAGTCAAGTGGATAGAATCGTTTCGAGGCTGCAATCCGAACTATTGAGGGCTTCAAAGGGATAGAACTGAGAACAAGAGTGTTGGGAAAAATTGTAGAGTACCGGAATGATTCGTATTTAATATGAAAAGCTATCTACCGTTACCAGAGGCCATAAATCCAAGTGAAGCATCGCCAAGAAAAGAAATCCCCCATGTCTTATCCAACTCTTCGAGTCCCATGAATTAACAACACTGCGTATATTTGTGTCAAATCAGAAGTCACTCCTTGGTGGGCCCTTTCTTTATCAATTCCCATTTCCGGCCAAAGCAGCAGCTCCGCCAGCGACATTGGAGCTGTGATCAGTACCATGTGCAGAAGGGCCAGCAGAAGCAGAAGCACCATTTGTAGTAACCCTAACAAGACCATGAACCTTCCTCAAATGATCATTGACTTTGTCTGGACGACAAAGTCCTTTCCCGTAGCTTCGACGACACCCAACAATAGGGCAGAGGTTCTTTCCTTGAGTTATCTGGCCGCGTTGATGAACTGATGAGATGTGTCGAAGACGATCGGATGTGCGCCCGAAGTCTTTAGCGCAGTTGGAATAGGAGCAGGGATAACGGCCGGTGATTGGATGAGCAGAGGCGGTGATGAGAGATGATGCAGAGGCGGCCGTCACATTTGCGTTACTCGAGGGCAGAGAATCTGATGCAGGAACCCCATTTGTACCGGGAACCTTATCTGAGCGCGAGATTGAGCGCGAGATTCTGAGGCTCTGCGTCAGCTGAGGAACAAAAAAAAAACTTACCCAATATCCCCGCCCTCTCCTTGTTCCCATGCAGGGTACGGAGATCGGTGGAGAACAGGGTATTCAATTTGCTTAGCAGGAATCTCCGTGCTAAAAGGGCGTTGCAACGACTGATAGGTCTGGGGCATTTGGTTGGCGGATCCTTCATTCAAAGGGGCTTGCATGAAATCGTTGGCCATAGGTACCGGCCAGTGACGTGCCGTAAGCTCTGCATAGAATGGAAATTGAGCGTTTTCCATGAAAGTTTCTCCGCTCAAGTGGACTTGATCAGGGTTGGGCATCTGCCCGTTCGCCATAAAATCTGCATCAAAGACAGGGTTCATGGTCGTGCTGCTCTCGATTTCACCAGTGAAGAACTCTTCGCCAGGGGGCAATTGCTACGTTTGCTCGGGGATAGGCATCTCGTATGCGAAAGAATCTTGTTGAGAATGATAAGGCATTTTTTGACAGTAAAGAGGGCGATGTGGCTTGAGATTTTGGCCAATAAGCAATTGACAACTTTGAAGTGTGTGTAAAAAGGGCGACGAATAAGATCTTTAGAATGCAAGGCTGTAAATTGATACTGCCAAAATGGACTGGAAAAGTGCGAAAGGAGGAGTAAATAGATATGGGAATGAGAGCAGTGTTATATATTGAGAGACTACTCAGATATGATTAGGAGTTACGCCCTTTTTTCAGGAATCCCTGTGAAAGGTCAGGGCATAAAGATAAGTCTCTACCAATTAATGACTCGAAGAAAGACTTTACAGTACAGATGTTCACATTAGACACTCATAGATTAAGCACTCGCTTTTAGATCGAACACTTGTATGGCTTTTTGAGTCTGCCTTCCTCAAACGATGATGCTGATGGGCGCCGGTAACATATATTTCCCCACATTGCTATTCTTCTTTTCGATGAAACGACAAGCTGAAGTCGATGTTCAATTCGGTACATCATAAATGCTGAACCATGTAAATATGATAGTCTCTTTTACAAGCTCTTAAAATACTTGAATACATTCGAGACTCTCTTCAATTTGAAATAATGTTGTAGCGATCAGATCAGATTGTGAGGTTGCTCACACGTGATTTCTGAGCACGGTTCATCTTGAAACATCGAGAGAAAAAAAAAAAGTCAACCTCCTCGACCTCGGGACTTCCAATCAACAAAAATACTAAAAAGAACAAAAAAATTGCATCTCCAGAGGAAATGTATACTGGACTAGCGGCGAATCGAACGCCGGACCTCTCCCATGCTAAGGGAACATTATACCACTAAACCACAAGCCCTTAACGGTATTCGGTTTACCGTTTTCTAGAATATAACCTAAGTTCATTATTCATTCCAGAAATAAAACTTGGTAACGTGACTTATAGTGATCTTGGTCAAATGAATCATACTTTCTGTAAAGGAGTGTTGTGAGAGGGTTTAATTTTATCATTTGAAATCTAAAGTTAAGAAGAGAAGAGAAAAGGAAGAGGAAAGGAAAGGAAAGGGAAAAGTAAAGGAGAGGTATAAGGTCTGTCTAGATGATACACATGTTGATTAAATGATCTGAGGGATTGTTGTAGAAGGATTAATTCTTGATTTAGAGTCTGAAGCTAAGAAGAGAAGAAGAATAGAAAGAGAAGAAGGAGGTGAAGGAGAGAGCTCCAGACTCTATATATATGGGAAGTATCACGTGCCTGATTATTTCCAACAGTTCGGCTACTCTCCACAAAGAATGGCTCACTTCTGGTGGCTTGACTGTGGCTCGATTGCGTAACAATTCGATCCCTTTTCGAGTTCCCTTCCTTCACCTAATTATCAAGATATACTAGTGTTACGGAAGTACCCGCACCGCAACATGGATTATAAAATAAATGCGAGCCCTCGGTCTATATAAGGAAATAGGATTTCATTACAATGTAGAGCTTCGTGCTCAAGATCAATCATTAGTTTTATACTATAGTTACGAGAATTGCAACCAGTTCCAACCTTGTCGAATTCCTACTTGAAGTCTAGTCTAAACCACCTCGAGAGATCTCTAGACACTTCCACGTGACCCTGGAGGCAACTCCCGTAACAGCTAGAGATTATTATCACGTGACTTTGTTTCTATATATACATTTGGAGCTCTAACATGTCTCTTCCTATTCTTTTCTCCCCCTTAGCTTTAGATCCTAAGTCAGAATTGAGTCCTTTTATAACAATTCTTTATATAAGATTTATGAATTACAATTTTGTAGGGGTTTAAGAGAATAGGTACTTAAAGACTGAGCTTGGATCCTAGGTCCACTAAATCTAAGGGATTCAGCAAAGCATAAAGATCTATATAATGAGAATGAGTTTCCTTATTGTAAAGCTTCATGCTCAGAATCAATCATTTAGTATGCTTTACTATTAGCTACGACTTGTAATCATTATTACTGCTACTTAAGTCCCTGCTTGACGCCTAGTTATAAACCATCTCGAGAACCTAGAGCACTTTCACGTAATCTAGACGACAAGCCTCCTAGCATGAGCTGCTTGGCTAGTAGTCGAGTCTATACAAAACGGCAACCAAAGCTGCTGTTTTGAATACTTAAACCGTTGTACCTAGATACAAGCTATAATAATTATGTTTTTTAAATCTTATCGTTACATCGGTAGATATGTTTCCACACCGGAATATAGAATAATTGCCAACTGCGCTATATGACGTCGTCGATACTACTGGCAAGCCCCTTAATAACACATCGATACAACTAATCACTCTAAGATTATAACTACTATTTTCAATGATTTTAATCGTATGTACCTATTTTGTATCATAAATATATCCTCATATCCCATATAGTCATTGGAGTAGTATAAGTTAGTATTATAGTAGCTGATATAGACGTTACTGATACTATACTAATGCGTATAAAAAGTAATATTGCTTACTACCGTGCGTATAATAGGCCGTACGTATTAATAGACATATACTATAATACGACTTAGAAACTAAAATATTTCAATTAACCAAGCAGGTAGACAAAATCTAGTACTAATTTAGACTAATTAACATTCCAATGTGGTTTGAAACAAGCAAAAACCAATACAAAGAAAGAACTCGATAAAAGACTTAAAACCACTCAAAATACTACTACTTCTTTATTATTATCAAATTAGAACCTCATTAATATCATCTTCTACAACCCACTGCTCTAAACCAAGCCAAGACTTCAAACACTCCAACCTTTCAATGGATTCAACTGATAAACGTCCTCGTCTATCAGCACAAGTGATTTTTGCCCCACTAAAAACTCTCTCAGCCGCTGCCGATGAGCTAGGTATTGATAAAATATCAAGTGCCATTTTGCTGAGGTTAGGGTATAGATCCCGTTGAGTTCTTTCAAGCCACCACTTCCTAATGTCACCAACTTTATCAAGAGCTGGGCTTGATAGGTATTTGACGTACTCGTCAACAGGCTGTCGATTTGCGCGTTTTGATTCTAAGTGTACAATTAAAACATTATCACTCTCACCAGAGCTCGATGTTGATGAAAACGACGACAGGGGTACAAAAGCTTCAGCTCGATATCGTATTTGCCAGTAAGCTTCTACACGAGCTTTTGCTCGAGTAATCCAATGTGGATGATCCTATTAATATTATTAATATGATTCCAATAGTAAATCATTAAAAGATCTATACATACTATCCAAGATAATTCAAAATAAGACCACTTTTGCGCAGGATCTAAGACAGTTGCAGCTACATAAAGGGGTGAATTATCTGTCAAAGTATAGTATTTCTCAATTTTTGACTACCCATTATTATAACTCGGACCCATCCATGCGTCATTTGCATACTCTTCCTGAAATTGAACTAATTAGCCTCTAATATAAGGAATGCTAGGTGAATCTAGTAGGGAAGGGAAGATGGAATGTGAATGTTTAAAACTTACTTTTGCTTTCTCAAGGTGTTCTAATAAGTACTCTAGTGTAGGTAAAACACGATTGAGAGTAGCATCATTACCTTCAGAGAATTGTGTTGCATTTTTCAATACAACAAGCATCTTTTGAAACTTATCAAGAGTATCAAAATCTTCATCAGATAGCTCAATAGCTCTTGGAGCATCATCAGGATACAACTGCCACCATCGTTTATACGCACTCTTGATTTTAGGGTCTCTAAAGACACTACACATCTTCTCCCAAGAGTTCCATCGAGTATCGTTGTCTACAGGGATTCGTTTCCCTGTAAGGCGGACAAAGTTCTGTGTTTTGCGTGAACTCTTTCGAAGCAATGTTGCAAAACAGTAACACTTCCCAATTGCACCCTTTTTCCTCCATTCACCCCATTGTTCTTTATCTGCAACCTCAATCCCAGCTGCGAGAGCTTCGACATTAACGTCGTCTTCAAAAATATCATCAGCTTGTTGATCCATAGGTTTATCAGTAAACATTACAGCTTTTGCGGCTAGGTTGATGGAATGTATAAGACAGCGTATGCGAGATTCGATTGGGTGCCACTCCACATCAAACTTATCAAATAATACTAAAAATGATTAGTAGGAATGCTAAAAAGAATGAAATAGCTTACTAGAAGACAACGCTCGTGCGCAGGTATCGTTATTTGATCCATTGTCCATCACCATCGCCCCCAATTTAGTTACAATTCCATATCTTTCAATCTCTTTTGCAAGAACTTTTGCAATATTTTCCCCCGGTGTATCGACCTACAACCTCTTTGAGAGCAAGAGTAAGAGTTTTAAGCATACCATCTTGATCAATAAACTGTGCAACTAAGCCGAGAATACTGTATCCGTTAGGGGAGGTCCAAAGGTCCTGAATGAGGTGAATGTTCGATTGGGATGTGTGCAAAACCTGTCTAATGCGAAGTTGATTCTCTTCATAAGTTCGATCAACTCAAGAAGTTAAGGTTTTTTGAGAATCTGGAACCCATATAGCTGTTTGTTTGTTGAGATAATAAAGAATAGCTCGAAACTCATCGCATTCAATAAGCTTTACTGGTAAAGAACAACGTGCGAATAAGCGTACAAACAGAAGCTCTAAAACGTAGGGATCTAAGACATACTCATCGGGGAGATTTTCAAGAGTTTCTTCATCTTTTATCATTCTGCGACGCTTGAATCCAGCGGATTTGCTAGCATTTTGTATAGCTTGCTGTATAGTAGCTTGGACACGCTCTCGACGCTCTTCTCGAGGGGATGCCTCACTAATTGAATGGTAAATACGCAAATGTACTGCAATGATACGTGTACCATCAGATTCGAGGTACTTTTGTTTACAATAATGACATCTCCATTGAACTTTACCTCGATTGTCGAGATAAATAGTGTTGGAATCAGTATCAGGCATATGTTTCCAGATCCAAGAATATCGACGTCGTGCATTGAGAGCTGTAGAATATGTTTCAGCTTGAGGTCCTTCAATATTGAGTATTGTAGGTATAGATATAGGAGTAGGTATAAGTCCAAGTATTTGAGAGTCTTCTTGAGAGTTGTATAGAGTAGGTGTAGGACTGGATGAAGGGGGGGTATTAATATTATCAAAAAGCTGAGGTTGATCAATAAAACGATCAGGATCGACGATACTAAGAGTATCTGAGGGATGAGTAGTTAAACCGTCGTCTTCGATGATAATAACTGACATATTAATGATGAAATGATTGAAGTGTAATAGAATAAATAGAATTTGATGGTTTTTGAATATAAAATGAGGGGTTTGATTTCATATTAAATATTCTGAATCTAAGAAAGTGATTATCGTTATATAATATCAAAAACCCCCTTTGGGAGTTGAAAAATTGTATTATGATAAGTCTTTTGTTATAAGATATGAGATAAATCGAAAAATTTAATGTATTCTATTGAATTTCGCTCTTATTATCGTAATCAATATAGTTGGAAGTAGTAATATTCTTGAAGAATTAAATATTAGAACCTCAAAAAAGGGGTATGTACGTGTCAGCTACTCGTTTCAGCCAATCAATTATCAATATTTCCGTATCCTATCAGTAGTATGCAATATTAGGTGATAACCTCAATAATTCCAGTAATATGGCATTCAATAATATATATTGAAATACGTAGTAGAGAATGTATACGCATCACTAGAGTGGGGCGTATGGAAAATACGTCGTATACTATCTCAATAACTGGTTCAAATTATTTAATAGGAAAGTATATCAATAAAGGTTATAGAGAATATATACGGAATTTTGTGTAAGAAAGATGTGCTGTTGAATTTGAAGTGGAATGAGTTAAATAAATACGGTTATTAGTTTTTGTCATCCGCTACTATATAATATGAGTTGTTTTATAAGCTTCTAGTCTATCCAAATGCAAGACTATTGAAGTTGAAGGTGCTAAGTTTTCTTATTGTAGCTTATTACGACATCGAGATTGAAGTTGGTATATAAACTTTCTGAAATGTCATATTCAACTTTTAGGACTATTGTAGAATCTCAAAAGTATGTGAAGGGAAATTTATAATGAAAAATTACATATATCGAAGTACGAATAAATAGGATGAGATTGCTCTCGAAATCTAGTAAGCTATATTCACTGAAGTTTTATTACATATATTGTATAATAACTGAATATTTTGTTGAAGATAAAATTCCTATAAATAAATATAGCTAATTAAAGAACAATATTTTTTCCTAAATCATTTTTACTCTAGACTTTTTTTTATTATATTCCATTCGTTTCCTTTTCTACCATTTCAGCTATAACTAAAACCATTGAAAATTGTTTTAATATTATTTTCATTATAAATCTTTATTGGTTCATGATTTACCTTGTTTAGCCTTATCATTGTTACACAAAATGATTCACCTAATTCAAAACAAAAATCTATTATATATTAACACTCATATACCGCGATATAATATTCTTCAACAAAGCTGGATCGAAAGTTTCTGAACGATAAAAAATGCCTTCCATCAGCCACCAACGAAAATCTAGAATATTCCAACAAAGTAAAGGATACAATAAAAACAATTCATACCAATCCAGAATAATCAGAGAGCTTTGTATTAGCTATATTTTATTTCTTCCCAAAAGATTAAAAGAGAATAAAAGTATTAGATATATACTTAATATATATTATTATAACAAATCAAAATTAAATAAAAAAGAGTATAATTATTATATTATAATTTTAAATATTTTTTAATTAGATAATAAAGAAATCAAGTATTATATTATTAAAATGAAATTCCAATTAAAAGAATACCTTACTTTCAGCTAACAATTATTGATAATTAATTTCTAAGAAAGGTATTATTAAATATCCTATTAATTATATCAAAATTTCACAAACGTTTCTAACATTACCACTAAACAAAAATATCGGATTATTTCTCAAAAATAAAGATATGCCCAGATAATCCTATATCTCGTTGAGCCATATCTTCCAAATCTTGTTTTTTGTTTTACAATTGAACAAGCCTGTATATAATACTCAGCTTATAGAGCAATGCTATAAATATTTGATATTAAGGTTAGGATTGAAGGTAGCTATATATAAGGATATAAATATTATAAAGCAATCTAAAATAACAATTCGCTCTGTATCAAAATCTATAATTTATAAAGATTTGATATACTTTATAGAATTAAGTTTGTAGATTAATAATAGAATTTTGAAGTTTGAAAGAAGGGGGTTGAGGTTTTTGGGATTTGAGTAAGCAATAAGGGTTAGGAGATTAGAGAGTATCCGTTTGATTTTATGAGCTATAGGCAATATATCAAAATGAGATTAAATCTCTAAGTTTAATGTTAGTGATGAAAGCCCTGAAGTATAGCTTATAGAGTATTAGTATTATAAAAGAAAGTTCAAAGTTTCCGTTTCTGATAGAAGCGTTATTTAAAATATATCGGAATATCAGCGTTAATTATGCAATGTGTGTAAGGCTTAGTAGTATGAATCAAAGAGATCTGACTGGTTGGGGAGAGCGGGGTCAGTGGGGCAAGACCACGAGAACTCTCAACTCACGCTGACTTTGAAATAGTTCTATGCAATATATTTCACTACCAACATCTTCCACGGTTACCAAATCAGAAATTATTGCGCTCTAAAAATCAGCTTTCTCTTTACAATTTCATCTATTTATAGATGTGCAGTAATCTATACTCTACTAATCCAAACCGAAAGCTTGAACCATATCCGAAATTATCTTGTTCGACAACCTCGATACTTGTTCTAAAACAGAATACCAAGCTAATCTTGAGAAGACTATTAATTTGTTATTTTGGATAGTAGATGAAGCACTTAAGATGTTTCACTTATATTTATAAATATAAAGAAAAGTTGGAGGGGATTGGAGTGTATGCGATAACCCTGTTCTTGAATAAGGGGATAACATCGTATATTGAAGAGGTGAGTTACCATTTAGCCTGTAGACTTGACAGCTTGTACTATTGTTTCTTTACAATGAATGTCTATGACAGGTTTAATACGTCTTACTTTCTCATATCAAAATTTTGAAGAATGGCAATATGTCAGTGATCTTTTACAACCTTTCTATATACAAGCTCAAAGCACATCGTAGAGAGAAAGTTCGATCTGATGAACCAGAAAGCCTTGCTGAGAAGACGTATACATTGTGACTTCAAGAAGAGAATGAATCTCAAGCTTTGATAATTAAATTTAATTTCGGCATATCTTTGATGATTTTGAATACGCAATCATATAAGTCCTTGGCTGGTAAAGTGCTTGCAGGTTTCTGAACCCTTCTTGAGAAGTCCCAGCTTCTTGGTTAATTCCTCACGTTGACTAAGATTACTCTCACTCTCATCCGACACATCAGTCACGAGAGCATCATCCATGGAGATAACAGATAGAGGCGGGAAACAGCGTGAAGATGAGGTACTAGCGTATCTTCAATGGCTTCCACAGCAAGATCATCAATGAATCGTTTCAGTGCAACCTGTGTAGTTCATATCAGCCATGCATTCTACAAAAAAAGATGAAGAGTTTGCTTTGTACTTGCCTTGTAATAAGCCAGCATCCGTTCCAAAGCCTCATAGCATTCAGGTCGTGTCATGTTTGGTTCGGCCTCGTTTACCAGTTGCGTGATCAGGGGACGCAAACCTCGGCAACTGTTTATATGAACACGGGCTATATCAGAACCATCAGAGAATACCTGAATTATCCTTTTGAATTCGATTTCAAGGCGCTGTTGACGCGTAGACGATGATGATGGGACGGGATTTTGGCTATACGTTATGGGGTGGCCTTGTTGATGAGGTTTGAGTTATTCGGCGACTTTCGACTGTAAATTTCTCGACAACCTATCTAAAGCCGGCTCGAGGATTCCGGAAAATAGCGCCTCTGATGTCGAAGAATCTACAATACTTGAATTCAGGAGTTTGATGAATGTCCGAGTATTGAAAAGGACTTCTTTGACATGCTTTTGAGTAATAGCTTCCCAGGGGGTTGATTGCAGCCGAAATATATCAGTAATGATCAGCGAGTCGAATGACCCTGGTAGCTCGTGACCTCTTGTTCTCTTCATGAGATCTTCGATTTTGTCTATGAATTGATCTTTGGTGATCGATATTGTTGTATCAATTTCATAGTCAAAACCATCACCCTCATTCTTGTTCGGCGTATGATCAGTAATGCAATATCTATGGCCTTCTTGATTGATTGTATTTGCAAAACTGAGGTTAAGATTCTGAAGTACAGCTCGTAATCGTTTTTGATAGCCAATTTCAGACTTGGCATCACCAAAGAATGGATCATTATATGTTCCATCTACAGCTAGTCTCAAGATTTTTTGGAATTGAAGACTGGTGTGTAGAAGGTAGTTTCGTTGTTGCTCTAAAGTTGACCGCGGTTCCCCAAGTTCTTCAAGTCGTTTCATAGAATTTTCGAATTCTGTTTGGATTTCTCTAATCAACCCTGGCATTTCACCTATAATTTGTCGTAGAAGAACATCACTAAGCCTTTTGCGTAAATTAACTATCCCTAGTGATGTTGCAGGGACCTCTTTCCAGATGCCTTTGGAGAAAAACTCCTCTTCCTCAGAGTCGCGGTGTGATAAGGACCAAGTTCCTACATCAAAATCCAAATCCTTCAACACGTGCCACCCAAGAGAGAATTTTATATCCTGGTTCTTTGCAAGAGTAGCATAGTAGTTCTCGCCCTCGGCACCCGCGACAAGAGTATCGGGTTTTGTAATCACGCCTAATGTTCGACTACCACCACGATCAGCAGTGCGTGCGAGCTTGAGCACAATTTGATTTGCATAATCATTTTTGGCAGAAATCACCGCAAGGATAATATTTCGTGGTTCCTTCATATAAGTATGGACAATGCTTTGTACTGCTTCGATATCGGAAGCCGATTTTTGCTTGTCTCCGAGTGTATCAATCCTGGTAACACGACTATTGTCAAGTGAGGACGATCAGGACCAGAGATCTAAACTCGAAGGACACTTTTGGAGAAAGCTTTGCCATTTTCATAGACACCCATTGCTGCTCTCGCATCCTCAATCAGCTTTGCCAGACCATCAAAAGCATCAAGCTCCTGGCTGAATTCGCTCAGAGACGTCCGTTCAGTCTCTCTAGAAGAGTGGTATGGTACGATATTTACACGAACGCTGACCTCAGGCGTCTTCTGAAGGATCAATTCAGTTGGGAACCTTGTGCAAAGGTTTCCTTTGACAGGAAAAGGCACGCCCGAAATAGCCGCAAGAACCGAACTTTTCCCAGATGATTGGTCGCCATACACAATGATTTGTGGCAAGGAAATATTATGATTGATACCTTGAGAGCGAAGATTATCAATGGTATTCATTATTTTGATTTGATTCTCAGAACATAGGCTTCTTAAGCCGTTGGTTTGAAATAGCTTGGCTGTCTTCCTGGCCATGATGATGTGATATTGCTGCTGCAATTACGATAATGCGATGTTTTTTTTCGTAAAGTCTGAAATACTAATCTCTTGGTCATAGCGGTGTTCAGACGATATTTAGTGATTGTTATATACTCAATTGAGATTGTCTATCACAACCGTCTCAAAGTCTCGTCTTATCTACGGTGTCAAGATTTGCAGCAGCATTACCGAACAGTTGTACAAGAATTGACTAGCTACTCGAATATACGTGGCAATCTTTGTTATGTGGTGGTTTACCAGATGCATAATACTGCAGAGGCAAGCCAACAAATATGTTTTAAACAGCAAAGAGCTAAATCTGCATACAACTCTAGACAGTTATGCACAAGATCTTCCTTTTTATCAACGGTGCATTAATATATCTAGAGAACTTTATCCATACTAGGCAAGTCTTTTGCTTTTGCTTTTGAACTTTGAAATAAACATAATGTTAAATTATTGAATGGGAACGCAGGCTATTTATCGGAATTACTGAGCATTTCACGTGAAGAAAGAAGTAATAGATGGCATACGGCTTGTTTAAGGTTGCTGAATGGGTTTATAATAGGAACAGGGGAGACAAATATACTGATTGCATTTTCGAATTTATGTCATTCATTCTTGTAACCTCCCGCATTTTCACACCGTGCTTAGTCTTTCTGGCTCACATTTTTCAACTTTGTTTGAACCTTGTTTTATCTAGCGAGTAATCTAGCAAAAGATAAAGGAAACACCAATCGCCGAAAGCATCTTGACGCAAGGCGCAGTCCTTCCATGAGGGTATCCTAATGCTAATACTTGAATTGTGGAAAGAAAATCATGCGCATAGCTATCTAGGTCTCTCGTGATTAGATCTTTACATAAGTTCTCTCTGTTATGGGAAAATTCCAGCTTCAATATGACAAGATTTCATAGCAAGTTTGAGCTACGCTTTCCACCCTTTGCTTCTTGACATATTTTACCTCATGGCATGTCAAGTTGTGTTTTCTACCAATGGTGATTCGAAATAAGATTCAAAGATAGCATCGTCATCCATTCCGCCCAAAATTAAGCAAGTAATCATCTTTTTTGGCTCGATGCAAGATTCCACGTCATCTCTTGATTATCGTGAATACCTGATTTTGCTTTGTGCAACACTTTTTCGTACACCTTTGACGATCGAAAATGTTTACACAGTGATGTGATAAGCTCAGCAACTTTAATGATGCTGAATAGCTAATAAAGCGATTTTAGTGAACCATGAGTGAGTCATGGTTTCTGGTAGAAGACGCTAGGCCTCAAGAAATCCAAGATTACTGACTACCCAGCTAATGCATCTTCATTAAGGAAGGATACAGAACTCTCAAGCAATATACGTGGACCTCAAACTACCATTCGATTTCTCATATAGTAGGAATGAGCTGAAAGCATTGCTGGAAGTCTTCGCCCTGTCAGTATGATTGCGGTTCACAAGAGAGAATCACGTGCGACTTAGTACCTCTGCTTGTTGTGTTAATTGTATCAGAATATAACGCTCTTGTTTGTATAGAGAGGTAATCACAGTCTTTGAAATTCGACTCTTCCAAATAGTGGAAGTTGAATACGTGATGGTGCACCCACTGACTTCGTGAGTAGTTAGAACTGGAATTATATTGTGATTGTGAGATATACACAACGTCACCTGCTATGACAAATATGATTCTTCCTCACAATATGATGAGTATTTTTGTTGATTCTATCTTTAGCTTTAATGCTACAAGATGGTTGGCTTCAACGGCAAAACTCATACCTACCATCTAGTAAAGTCAAAATCCGCATCATGAGCTTTGCTCAAATAAGTATCAGCTCCAGCAAAATCCCCTCATTTGAGGTATAGATCTAATTCACACCAGTATGTTTCGATGCCCTAACCAGCTTTTCATTGAATCTATATGGCAAAAAGATTTATCAATATATGTTCCTCTGACACTATCAAATATTGAGGTATCTCAAAATACCTTACCTAAGGATTCAACAGTGCATGCTTCTATGATCCATATCTAATAGGTACTCTTAAGTTTATAGGTGACGTACTGAGCTCTTAGCATTATTGATTGAATTTGCGCTTTCTCGTTTAACTTTGTACATCCAAGATCTCATAGTTTGATATTTCCTTACACGACACTTGATTCCTTATAAGGAAAAACGACTTCATTGTACTTTGAAGAAAATATCATAGTATCGAATATGTCGAAAGTTTGTGCAATTCATGACAGCTTATTGATGTCATGAATATATGTCATCCTGATGCTTTTGATGCGTTCCTTGATTCGAGTATGCTCTGGATTAAGTGAGTAATAGCCGAAACTCAAAGAGACCTGTGATATAAGAATTGCCATGGATAACGAGAGACATAGCAATGATATATTATAGCAAAATTGTATTTGTTCCATAAAATCAGATTTCTCTCCAAATAATTTTACATAATACATTCCGACAGCTATGTGTCTCAGAACTTTCGTGGAGAATGAATTGAAATACAACTTCAAGGAAAATCGATTACTCGAGGAGGCACTTGTAACAAGCGGTGTTGTTTCTGGAAAAAGTTCGATTGTCGAGCGACAGGGCAACAGAAGGCTTGCACTAATTGGAGATGCATTGATACGTCTTGAGCTTGTTCACAATCGATATCTAGAGGGAGCAACTCTCGGTAAGTTAAAGAACCATCACCATGAGCGATGACTGATCATAAATTAGAAACTTCTCAAAGATGTGTGTCCAAGAACGCATCAAATCGTAATCTCGGGACGATCGGTCAGCACAACGGTTTGGTGGATCAAATGGTTCTCCCAGCTAGCCAGCACGAACCAGCTGTATACACCGTTGCAACAACAGTCGAAGCTCTGATCGGAGCTATCTGGTTAGATTCGGAGCAGGATTTTGACGTGGCTGGTAGAGCTATTCGAGCATTGCATATCGAACCAACACAGTAATCGATCTTCATTCACGAAGGCAGTGTATTCTGGTGCATAGCATATCATCAGACACATTGCCGAAGCTTTTTCAAGGTAGATAGATTTTATGAGCTATCATGTATTTTCAATACAGAATCAACTTCATCAATACTTCCGGTGCACATTAGAGTCCTCTGCGTGACGAAAAAGACCAATGAAACAAAAAACCCTTCATTGTCTTTTGGCTAACGTGGAATGATTTCAAACAGAACTGAGGAACTCTTGGATGGAGAGTCTCTCACGTTGCTCGACATATTCAAAATTCAGTATTCCATGTATTATATAGTTATAGAAAAGTTTACTTTGGTATGTAAATATGATTATTGCAGGTTATTGGGAAAGATGAATTCTTATACATACTGCACCTATCAATGCAAGATTTGCTGTGCTCAACATTGAAAGTATATCCTTCGATGCTATTGATATTACCAGGATGCTTGTGAATAATCAAAGTGATGGGGTTCAATACTTTGATTCTAGATATTCTTTATTTTATTATTACAGTCTTTGCTAAATACCTCCTAGTGGCGAAGTGTGACGATTCGGTCCCTTTCAGGTTCCCTTCTTAGTCACCTAGCTTCTAGGACCTTAGCCTAGCACGTAACTCATTGGTGTATATAGTCCGGAGCTCTTACAGTTCTCTTCATTTTCTTTTCTTCCTTTTTTAGTTTTAGATTCTCAGGTAGAATTGAATCCTTTGATGACAGTTCTTCACACAAAGATGCGAATGCAATACTTGTTTCTACACTTGCTGATAAATGTTCAGGAGTGGTCACACAATATGACAGATAGCCCAAATGATTGAATACTAACTAGTCCCTTTTTGGACTAGTGTCAACTGATATCCACAACGATCTTTCCTCGACTATCCACCACCACGTCAAGTCTTCCATCCACCTGTGTTCATCTACCAATCGATATGGTCACACATCAAGTAAAACGAGACGTGCAAAAGGCTGGGCAGCAACATTCAAGACAGCAGTCATTCTCTTGTGAGAGCGCACATCTTGAAAAAATGTTACTTCCCCAAGAACAAACTGTATTCAAAGACAGGAATATTAAATCGAAGCAGCCATTCCCTTCCCCAACCAGCAATACTCCTGGTATTGAGGCATATTGTTCTTATTCTGATATACTATAAAGCTAACTCATGTCAAGTTTCTGCAGGTCGAGAATCGTCAATTAAAGCGAAAACGATCACAAAACGAAGCTACAATCCCTTCTATCATTCCTTTCGAAAAACGGCTACGGTCATCGACTTCACGACCTCACACGGAGGATACAATTTGCGAGAATACTGCGATTGGTAGACGACGCAATCCTCTTCCTCTCCCTTCTCGCGCATCTCCCGATCGAAGTCTTACTCCCCCTCCTCCTCACGCATCTCCCGATCGAAGTCCTACTCCTCCCCCTTCGGCCGACCACAAACCTTCAGGACGAAGAGAAACTCTTTTGCTTTATGGCGCCTCTGAGGATCAGCCTCTTATTGTGGATTAGCTCCGTACAACTCTGGTTTTGGCGTTATTGGATTTCGGGTTTGAAACGCGAATTGTTTGTTGAAAGCAAATCTTTTCAAATAGAAAAATTAAAAAAACCAAATATCATTAATTACATGTGTTCCCAATTTATTGGTACGAAGATCTAGCTGATCTTTGTACCCACACGTTCATTCATTCACCCTTCAGCTCGTACGATTAGGGTATTAGTGTTGACAAACTTTCTCAACGCTCTATCAATATCTGCCTATTCCATGATATCTGCTATATTATGAAGACCATGAATTCATCTTGCTCCTGTCAATTCTCTTCTTTTGCACGATTGTCGTAGAGCCATGACATCAATCATACGCCTCTTTTCTTTCGCTGTACCCAGTTTGATGAGACGTTCGTACAGTAAATATGAATTGGTTCTGCCTGCAATCTTTGTATCAGAATTTGTGAAAATAAAAATACAGACATGTATATATGAAAAGGATGAAGACTTGAGAGAAGGATGAATGTTTGATCAAAGATAAGATGATAGTGCGATGTTACAACAAAGGTAAATATTTGGTGGGATTTATCATCATGCTTATGCGACTGAGGAGAAACACCAGTGTAATTAGGCTGTAATGGCGTGAACTCTCTGAAGATTCTTTTACAGCCTGTAGACAGAAAACAATCAGGGCCTGAAAACCCCACATTTATCCTGCACATGCCATGGATATCAACAACCACTTCTGTCAAGCCACATCAAAATACGGCATCGGAACGCTGTAGCTGATAAACATGCTTACTGATTTGAGCTCTGTTATCCTGAAAGGTTCTCTGTTTATGTTATCGCATCTTATCAGGTGATAACATGAAGCCTGAAGTGACAATACTGAAATGTGGGCGAATCTTACTCTAGGCTTGGAAAAAGCTTTGACCACGTGGACCGAACTTCAATCATCTCTCGTTACTCTGCCTGAGATCCTGATAATGACACACAGACCAAATGTGGCTCACCAAAGTAAAAATAGTTTTAGCCACAACCATCTCGCCAATCGATGACTATTTAGACGCGGCTTGTCAAAATCGGTCACTACCAATGGTGCCCACTAGCTACCCCGTAAAACTAAGATCCATCAAAAATGGGCCCTGATTTCTTGCAATGCTACTAATAACTAGTGCGATGTCCTTTTCCATAGTCAAGATATCGAACTCTAATCATTCATTGATCGTTTCAAGTATATTATCAAGCTACCATGGTATCTTTCATCAAGGTTATTAAAAAGCAAATAATACACTAAAGTGCATATACTTGTATATGTACGTTACCATAACCAACATTAAGTGCACAGACCTGTCTTTGTGGAGCTTGACTCATGAACTAGCTCACCCACCCAACCTTAAAATCTGCTTAAAACCCCACACTGATTGCAATCTTGAGCCTCCAGACATCATTCCTAGACTTGAAACATATCAAAAAATGTACGAAGCACAAAGTGTCGTAGATGCTATTACACGGTGTGTTCAATTTCATACAAGAACTGGCTGTGGCTAATATGAGATAGGTGTTTTGACGATGGCACCTATTCCGATCTGATTATCAAATGTCGTAATCGATCTTGGAATGTTCATCGTCTCATCGTTTGCTCTCAATCAAAAGTTTTGCATGCAGCATGTATGACAGGCTTTAAGGTTATTACATTGAGATGAATCATTATTTAGCTCAAAATCTTACTATTCATAGGAGGCAGATACAGGTGTCATTGAGTTAAATGACGACGATCCAGTCTCCGTTGAAATAATGTTAAAATACTTCTATACTGGTACATATGACGAACAAATCGTTGAGGGCAAAAAGCTATGTTTAAATTTAAAGGTTCAAGTTTTGACATACAACTTGGCTGATAAATATGACGTACCCAATTTGATGGGGCTTTTGAAGAGGAAGTTCGAATCAACTCTTAATGCAGGGCCTGTACTCGAAGAATTCCTATCTGTCGTTTCAGATGTTTATGTTATACCTACGTCAACCAATATCCTAAGACCCATCATTGTCGAATATGCTAGAAGGAGTTTTCGAAGTATGATTCAAAGCGATGATCTTGAAATCTTACGAGCCACACTACAGGATGTGCCAGACTTCGCTTTCGATATACTTCAACTGTTCATCAACAATCCTCTAAGGGGTCATTGTCGTAATTGTGGTTCAATTAAGAGTGCAGAAGTGCTCCAGGCGCGATGTGTGGACTGTGGCAAAGGGGGGGTTTCAATGATATTCTGATGAGATTTGCATAATGTGCCTGATGATAAAGCTACCTTTATCAATGCAAATGTTATCTCTTCATTGAAAATTAAGAATCAACTAATATCACGCTATCTGAGAGATTGATACTATATAGGACAGCTAGTAGAGAATTCAATAGTACTGAAATGGGAATCCTAAACGATACGTTGGAAACCTTAATTTTTCTCGGAATATTCATGATAGTTTAGGGTTCTGCTTTCCATAGAACACTAGCTTGAAGATTGAATGTTATGGAGTGTATTGTGAAGCTCTTTCACAGTCTGGAAGGCCTTTACCTGTGCTTGAAACTTTGTCTGTGTTATCACTATTGCTCCCAGCCAGCTTCAAGGTCTCGACTTGTCTAGATAATTACGTGTCTTGATCAGCGCTCTAATCTTCAAGTCAATTATCACACCTAGGACATTGTTTTTGAGAATTATTCGAGAGAGCTTACACTTACCAAACGATTGGATCAAGGCCCTCAAAAAGAGGAGAATTTCAAATTGAAGAAAAGGAGGCTGTATGCTGCCCCCTCAATTGTAAACATCAATGAAAGGCTGCATTTGTTTTGGCGATAGCCACTTCAGCAACAAAGTGTCCACTACACGTCATCTGAATTTATCTCGACTGCTGCCTCATCAAGTGTTGCGCTGATCTTCCTGGTGTTGCTTTTGCGGATTCACTGCTCACACTTGGGAGATACGTTGCTGATTTATCCACTGGATTCACGGCTTCCTGCATGAAGCCGAGTAATTACCCCGCACCTAGGCAGACAACTCTTGCAAACGAAGTTCAATCACACCTTTTTCTGCTCAAAGCTGAAAACCCATCTTTCTTTACTATCAACGAATCCCCACGAATCCCCACGAATCCTCACAAATCCTAACTACCTCACTACGCATCAAATTCAATTTGCCCATGATGGTTCACCGTATCAACCCGGGTCCAAACGATATCGATACTACTTCCGATAACAATATCGCTAGCATATTGAACGAGTTTTGGTGGGCGGTAATGCAAAGATCTATTATATTCTATAGAAATATGGGTTTGAACTTTCAGACTTTTGTAGTGTTTATTATCTTTGAAATGGAATCCTTTATAATGGGAATAAGTTTTAATATGATTTATTATTTTAAAATTGTAATTTCTTTAAATCTTAATCAATTTCAATAATATTAAATAGATAATACTTTGAAGGATTTGTGTATAGTATTTTGAATAAAGATAGGTAATGTTTAGGAAGGCAATCAAATTGTATATCAGTATATATTATACGATTCTTTAAAAGAATCTCATAACGATTTATTTGTTTTGGGGTTTATAGGTAAAGCTGTTTTAGAGATTCGATAAGTTTTTAAAAGGGGAAAATTTTGTTATAAAATAATGGATAATTAGGAGAATGTTTTATAAAAAATAATTCCTTCTTAATCTGGATCTACAATTAAACAACAATTCTTTACTAAACAAAATATTCTATAGAAATTGAGGGATAATGAGGTTATGCTTAGGGGTCGTTAATTGCCTTGGTGTTTATTGGTGGTACATGAGGAAGTGTTTTAGGAGAAAAGTCGCTATTGCTTTTATCGATGTATTCATCTTCCTGCTTTCTGAGAGTGACATAAGGATGTATCTCGTATGAGGGAGCCTGGTAGATAGAGACGAATGGTGTTAGGTTGACATTGAGTGAATTTCTGGGGTTGGGGAATAGGAAAAGGACGCTGTTTTATATCTTTATTAGTGTGTTTGTTTGGGATTCGATTGAAGGGATTTCGTTTCTGGTTGGTTTTTACTCAATTTTTATTTGGGGGTTTTTGAAATTCTGATTATTCTTGAATAATAGCATTAATAATCTAAATAAATAAATTGCGATAACTAGTAAATCAAAAAAAAATTCGTGAGGTACAGAAAATGATCAAAGACGATTAATGTAAGTAATTGAAGTATTGAATAAATGAGGGGTAATTACGAAGTCAGTACTTCGTAACCTATTAATAAGATCGCCTGAAGGCAATTGTGAAAGTTGTATTGTATGCTCCATACTTACGGAGGTGTATTCTCTAATTTCTGCTTAATTTGTACGGGCAGAAATATTTGGTTGATGGCAGATTACCGGCGGTGTGACAAAAATTACGGCATGTACCGTCGAAGATCGTTGGAAATATCGAGATTGATGATGACGAACTATTATGCTTCTAATGCTTAGAAGACTGTATAGGACTTGATATCCCGGCTTATGAGAGTACGATTAGAACTCCGTTCATTATCCATGTCCAGATAGTTTACGAGTGTAAAATGGAGGTCGTTCAAATTCAGTATCCAATCATAAGCATTAGAACGAGACCTTCGGTCGCTATCTAGAGATTTTCATTAGTCACTGATAACAATTTGTATTGGTTTAAGAGAGATACGGAAGACGTAATTCCTACTACATATAGGCTCCTAAATATCTATTTGTATTTAATCTAAGAAGCTAGCTAAATAAAGGAAATAATAAACCTTATATAGATATTATTAAAAAAGCTAATCTCCTTTACTTTCACCTAATACCCTTAATATAATTATTATTATATTGAAATGAATCCTTTAAAATGAATTCCCTTAAATAAATTCTTTTATCTATATACTCAAAACTCTTTTTTATAATTTTAAATATAATAATTGAAAAGAAATTTGTAAAATCATAAATATTCTTTGTTTATTAATTAAAGTCTCTGATTTCTTATTAATAGAACTAATCCCTTTTTTCCCTTAATCTTATTTTGTTTACTTTATTATTTTGATATTGATTTTATTTATATTAATCAGATTAATAAAAGCTTGATACAGCTTTTCTTTTGTTATTGTATCGATTGGATTAATCAGATCATCAATTCAGATCATTTTAATAATCTCTTTTCGCTTGTAGAATTGATATAATACTATAATATCGATTATTAATCTCTTTTTATTAATTATTCCTAACTTTATAAGTAGGTTGTATAGTGATTTGGAATTAGTATATAAAACTAATAGAATTTCTTTATTGAGAATGGTACTAACTATAAAAGTAATTATTATTCCGATATTGAATCTTTGAATTAATCTATATAGTTTAAATGCTAAAATATTATATATGATTTTTTTGTATTTGATAGATAATTAATAAATAATATTAGTATTATTATATTTATTTATTATTACGATTATATAGTTTATTTGAAATGAATAGTTCTTATTGTTTGTAAAAGAGATATCAGTAAAGACAACAATCTTAAATAAATCTAAATTAAGTAGTATGTATTTGAATCCTTTAATAAAATTTTCTTTTTACTACTTAATATGCTTGTTCAACACTGTAATATCATTCTTACCAGATTAAATCATTTATACTGTTATAAACAGATCGAAAAATACTTCAGATTAACATATAGTTATAATATATACTCCACAGGCTTATTGTACAACATATTATTCATATATAAAAACATGTTTCCGAACCTTACTACGCATACCATATATATCCATGGACTCCATAAATATAAACTGTAAATTATTACATTACTTTTTCTAATCGAAATAAATATTATTATCCTTAAGCGTAAGAATAATATTATTAAATTTCAATGGATAATTGTAAGTGAGTTTCTTGTAATTCTTAGCTATAAAACCAGTCTACTTGAATTACTTGTTCTTAGTTTGTATAAATATATTATTCCTAATAATAAGTATATTATTTATTTGAAATCCTATAATACCGAATCCAATCCTCTTATTATTAGTATACAAAAGATAAGAGTTATATATGGATTACTGCATTTTAAGCTTCTTGTAATAATGGATATAGTATATCCAAAATCAATAATTTCCTGCCTTAAGAATACTATACAATAGTTTAATAATTAGTAAAATCATATTAATTAATAAATCTATTTCTTTTAAAATATAGATATAAAAAGTATAATATAAGTTCAAGGTGGATTGAATGTATATTTAAATAATATCTCGAATATACACTTCTATATCTATCTTTCGAGTACTCGCGGCTAATAAAACTAAAATGCATTGATACAATCGTTGGATTATTAGGGATTATATTAATACAAATATCTTATTAACATTATTATATATTTGAATAATTAACCTCGACTTGCGAAATTCAGTATCTATTTCTTTATTTTTGATCTCATCAACAAACCATAACTTGAAAATACATATACCAAAAGGAACATCCGAAAATAATATAATTTCGAATACATTCTTAATTATCAATTCATCAATCTCTTTTTTTCTGAATTCTTTATATATAATAGGATTCTTGGGATTAGTAGCAAAATATTCGGGATGGTAATTCTGTATAAGCTTGAATCTGAGATATAACCATTTGCAGAAAAGATATCGATATAGGTATTTAATTATTTTTAAATAAATCTAAAAAAGGTTTTTTTAAATTCATTATACACATAATTGCTATTTCTAAAGAAGGCGATATAACTTTACCGGATTTTAGTAAAGTTATCTCAAGATTAATATTATAATCAATTTCTTCAATCTTCTTAATACATCCAGTTTCTAATTGTTTATAATACAGCTTTATCAATATAGATCTAAATCTTGTAAGTCTATAAAATAAATTAAGAATATATGTCTCCCCTTTTATATTAATAAATAAAAAAAATCCTTTTCATTCACTAATAACTGTCTCATTACTTTCTCTTTAAACCAAAACCTTGCTATTTAATAATAAATTATAAAGTACAGTTATAAAAGGTTCATTATATATATTTAAGACCTCTTATACTTATATAGAACTATATAATCTATAAACCTCTATTATAGCTTTAGAGATTGTAGTAGTATACTATTAAATAATAGATATTGAAGGGCTGATATTGATTATACAGGGAAATATTCTAAAAACAAGTAATATAAGCATTAAATTATTAAATCTAGTAATATTATTAATTACCTTTATAACCATTTGAAGTATAGCTGTTTTGCAAATATCAAATTTATAA